GTGGTGCGTAAATAGAGATAATGGAAGTAATGGTGAAGGGCGAGAGGACAAGAATGGTGGATGGGATACAGATGTTGCTTGGGTGGGGTGTGGGGAGATATGGACAGTATATGGGCAAGGGAGGATGGGCTAGTGGTTTAACAGGGTTCAGGGATAATGGATAGGGAGGGAGACAAGAGAAACAAGATGGTGGGCAAATGGGAGCCCATTAAAAGCTGATGGCAGGCAGGAAGCAGGAGTAGAGGGATGGTGGATTGGCAGGGAGGCAGGTAGACAGCGGTGACAGGTAAGCAAAGAAATAGAACTGGTGTGTGCTAGATGATAGAGGAAATATTTGAAGGAAAAGTAGACATGGATAGTGGATGGAAAGGAGCTGAATTGTGCAGAAGGCCAGGACCAGAGGCTTGTGTAGTTTCTTAATAGGGCTGGACGTGGTCAAGTTCCGCTGGCAGCACAAATTTGGTTTTGCTCTCTCATCAGTTTGGATCGTGCTGCCATTGTTCATTTACCTGCTGTTTACATCCTTGTGGCTACTACCAGCCCTTTACTTTTCCTGGCTTTTCCTGGACTGGAAGACCCCAGAACAAGGTAAGACTCATGGGCCTAGAAAGAACAGGACCTAAGAATGTTCCATCTTAACCTGTAACTAGGGGGTCCCACTCACCATACTACAGGCCTTTCATCACAGTTTTCAGAGCCACAGGAACTGGGCCAGCCAGGACCATCCTGGGGTCTTTTTCTTTTCCAGCTCTCTAGTAAAGCCATGGTCCCTTTATGCTGCTAGGAAAGGCCTGGGAATGGTTGGATTGACACACACAGACACTATCCCTACTGATATTTCTGTCTCAGGTGGCAGGCGATCCACCTGGGTAAGGAACTGGTATGTCTGGACCCAGATCAGGGACTATTTCCCCATCACGGTAAGTGTCTCTTCCTTAGCACCCTTCACAGTTCCCCAAATACTAGGCATTTATGTCAAATGACTAGGGTTGTCCATAGGGGAAATGAGCATCCCACATATATCTCAGTGCAAGCTAGACATACTTTATGATCCAACATTGCTGCCAAGTGTTCATTACTCTGCTAGGACACTTTGGATGCCCTTGGCATGGCCTACCAGATGACATAGGCAGAAATGGAAATGCAGTTCAGTTCAGTTTAACAAATATTGATTGAAAGTCTACTTTGTGCCACAGGTTTGGGGTACAGAGAAGTGAGTAGAATACCATCATCTGCCATCAAGGTGCTCATATCTAATGGGGAGGACAGATTGTATATTTATGGTTTAGTACAAGGTATACAAGTAGTTCAAATGATGGATAAGGAAAGGCACTCAATAAAAGTTACTTAGGTGGGCACTGAAATGGGGTTGGGGAGAAAATACCAGGAAGGGGGTCTAGAAATATACTGCTACACTGATCCTCTGAGCACACTTTGGAACAGACAACAAACACTTTCCTGATTTTTAGAGGTGAGTTTGCTGATCTTTCTCACTTAAGAGCACTCATAGAAAATGATACCATCCACGAAGTGCACTGACATAAATGGTTGAGACTCCTTGTAGCCATAGGCAAGAGACCCAGCAGTTCAGGTGCCCAGACTCTACCTGGTTTCTCAGGAACTGAGAAGACCAATACCTCAGCCCCTGAATCCCACTCATGGCCTATGTGTTGAAAAGCTCTGGTTTAGAGAGTGCCCTGATCCCTGAAGTGTCTCCACCTTTGCTTCCCCATGTGATCTCATTCCACCACCTCTGTAATTTCTCTCCATGACTGCAGATCCTGAAGACTAAAGACCTGTCACCTGAGCACAACTACCTCATGGGGGTTCATCCCCATGGACTCTTGACCTTCGGCGCCTTCTGCAACTTCTGCACTGAGGCCACAGGCTTCTCGAAGATCTTCCCAGGCATTACTCCCCACTTGGCCACGCTATCCTGGTTCTTCAAGATCCCCTTGATTAGGGACTACCTCATGGCCAAAGGTGCTTCTGACCGTACTAGATCTTCTAACCCATTTCTCCTCTTGGAGATGCACCTTTTTAAGCCTCCCATATCCTGCCTCTCAAACCCTCTCACCCTCCCCCCTGTCATTATAGCATAGTAGTTAAAAGCATATGTTCTGGAGCTAAACTGTGGTCTCACAAGCATGTCAAACTCATGGACTGCGGGCCACAAGCCTTGAGGCTGCAAGGTTGACATGCTTGGAGGGCAATCTACTGAATCTCTATTGGTCTCAGTTTCCTCATATGTAAAGTGGTGCTGCTGATGATTGTCTGACCTCAGATGTGGTGTGTTGACTAAATGAGACAATACAAGTCAAGTGTTCAATATAGTGTCTGCCACGGAATATGTGCTCAATAAATAATCGCTGTTGAAATTAATGGTGATAAAGCAAAAGAATAGAATTATAATGGAATTCAGAAAGTCCTGGTTGTCTCACTGAAAACCTTTCTGCTATAGTTTTGACCCAGTGCCTCCTACAAAAGTGGAGATATTGCCTCAAAGTGAAATGTGTTGTGTTTGCCCACAGCCTTCTCTTCTCCACACCCTTTGTCCCATCTCATTACCTCTCCTCCTGGGACACATGGGATCAAAGGGCACACAAACAAGCCAGTGAGGAGTAGAGCAGAGGGTGTTCTCTCTCAGCCTTTTTTCCTCTCCTGATCATTTTGCTCCTGTCTGTGCTCCTTGATTCTTTCAGGTGTGTGCTCCGTGAGTCAGCCAGCCATCGACTACCTGCTGAGCCACGGCACTGGCAACCTTGTGGGCATTGTAGTGGGAGGGGTGGGTGAGGCCCTGCAAAGTGTGCCCAACACCACCACCCTCATCCTCCAGAAGCGCAAAGGGTTTGTGCGCACTGCCCTCCAGCATGGGTAGGTGTTCCTCCCAGGGCAAGGGTGGGTGGCCTTCTCTGAGCAGCATGCCCTGGTAAGCAATGCCAAGATAAATGAGACATGACTCTTGCTCTCATTGAACTTACTAGTAAGTAGGGGAGATGGTCACAGAATTTCAAAAAGGTTCAGGTCAGATACTCCTTCTGAGCTAACTGGACCTTTTCCCAGCAAGCCAAACTACAAACCCAGATTCATTATGAGGAGAATTGGCTAGAGCTGCCATGGTATATAGAGGACTCCTACATTATCTCTCTCAACATCAATATCTACATTTTCCCTTAATGTTAAGTGCAAGAGGTAGTACAGTATGGTCAGTATGCATCAGGATCTGGTGTCAGGGGCCTGATTTAAAATCCTGGCTCCATGACTTACCCTGCACTCTGAAACAGCTTACTCAACTATTCCGAGCTTTCATGTTTTCATCTTTATAACATAGCTTCATTGGATTATTGTGGGGTTTGAATGAATTCATGTTCATAAAACACTGACCATGTGCCTGGCACACAGTAAGCGATGGATACACATTAGTCACACTGACATAGGGGGAAAGAGAGGAGATAAGGAGCTGGAGCCCAAGGCTGGAGATGTGGGGTGTCCTACCAGGTCAGCAGGCAGACGCACTGAACACAGGGACAATTGTCCTACTACAGACTCAAAAAAGAGGGAAGTGTTTCTTCTAATGACCTTGCCTGAGTGGTCTGTTGATTAGTTTGGAACAAATGTAGGGGGAGAGAGTTCTGAGCTCAGAGGAAGGAGTCCTGGGGTCCTAGTCCAGGTCCCGCCACTCACTGACTACCTGACTGACCTTCCCACTTCTGAACCTGGGCTTCTGTATCTGGAAGGTAATGAAAATACCTCCCCCCCACCAACACACACACACACACACACACACACACACACACACACACACACACACACACTGTGTCCTCCACTATCTCTGCTATGAAGACCCAGTAAGGTAATGTAGGTCAGAGTGCTGAGAGATTACTATTAGTAACTCACAAAGATTTGTATAAGAGAGATTGTGTTCTCTTTACACTTCTCTCACAGGAAGACTTAAGGAGCCTGATTCCCTACCTGGGGCACTGTCAGGGTGGATTCCCATGGCCTATGAGAAGGGAACAACTTTTCTCTGTGCTAATCCAAAGACCCAAGGACAGAATACGTTATGCATAGTCCCTGTGGGTGAGAGGCATATGGTATGGACACGTCTGTGCAAAATTATTGTTGTCTCTGTGCATCCTACTAGTAGAAACAGAGTCAGCTATTCCCCTCCCTGAACCCTCCTGGAATCTTTTCTTTGCACTGTGTGGGTCTCTGGGGATCTCTGCCCAAACTCCTCTTTCTTCCCTGCACCCCCATATTTTGCCCTTGTAATCCTGGCCCAGATATAGCACTTTCACTGGCCTTGAAAATTCCAGGACAAGAGACAATAAGTGTGGGAGCCCTGTTTAGTACAAGAAGAAATACTTTATGCCACAGGGATTTCATAATGGATGAGGGTCTGGCCATGAACAAGTATTTTTCCTGGGTGGTTTCCACTCGGGAATGTGTCTGGGAAATAAATTGTGGTTTTCCTACAGGGCTCATCTGGTCCCTACCTTTACTTTTGGAGAAACTGAGGTGTATGAGCAGGTACTGTTCCAGAAGGACAGCTGGATGTATAAGTTTCAGAGCTGTTTCCGCCGTCTCTTTGGTTTCTATTGCTGTGTCTTCTACGGACGAGGCTTCAGCAGAGGCTCTGCTGGGCTCCTGCCATATCCACTGCCTATCACCACCGTGGGTGAGTGCTGGTCTCAGCCCAAGGGCACCTCAGCTCTTTCTCAACTTCCACCTGAGCCCTGATCACCCTACCCCCACCAAAGAAAAGGGCAGTAGATAGGGAGAAGCTGGGAGTTAATTTGAGATGTGAGAGAATCGGGCCCAGGAGGTAGAAAGAAGGAGGTTTATGGAACACAAGATTCTAACACTTGCCCTTTCTCCTTTCTCATTTCTCTTGGCAGTCGGGGAGCCTCTGCCAGTGCCCAAGATTGAGAAGCCGAGCCAGGAGGTGGTGGACAAATACCATACACTCTATATGGAAGCCCTGCACAAACTGTTTGACCAGCACAAGACCCTGTTGGGCTGCTCAAAGACCCAAAAGCTGCTTTTCTTGTGACTGAAGAAGCTGAGTGCCTCGAAGAGGAGACTCATTTGCTACTACCCAAAAGTGGGAAAAGGAAGATGAAGAAGGGCTATGTGTGGTCAGGGAGGGCATCAGGAATTCCTTCCTTGGCAGAGAGTCCTTGTAATTGCTGTCCCTGAGTTGCTTCACTCAGTCATTACTCAGATGGAGACATCCTGAGGCCCCTCATGCCCAGACATGCATGCTCCCTGCTGGGCTCCCTACTGGCTTTCCTCTTTGAGCCCAACCTGTCAGGGCCTGGAGGGCTCAAGTGACTGCCAAGCAGCCTGAGTAGACACCACTCTAGTTGCTATTGTTGTTGTTTTCATGCATTTTTAAAATTGATATATATTTTGCATACTATAAATTTAATCTGGTTTAAAGTATGAAATTCAGCATTTAATATATTCACAGAGTTGTGCAACCACTACCACTATCTGATTTTAGAGCATTTTTCAGGACTTTCCCCCCTCCAAAAGAAATCCAGTTCACATTACCCATCACTCCTCATTCCCCTATCTCACCCATACCCTGGCAACTACTAATCCACTTTCTGTCTCTGGATTTGTCAATTCTGGACATGTCATATAATGGAATCATAGAATATGTGGTATTTTATGTCTGGCTTCTTTCATTTATCATAATGTTTTCCAGGTTCACCATTGTTGTAGCATGTATCAGTACTTCATTTCTTTTTGTGGCTGACTAATATTTCATTGTACATATACACCACATTTTTTGTATCTATTCATTGGCTGATGGACTTTTTGGGTTATTTACACTTTTTGACTATTATGAATAATCCTATATAATAAAAGAGAAACATGGTAATTAGCTGTACAGCCGCTACCCTTCCCATTGGCTAATCAGTGAGTATATGCAAATTAACTGACAACCAAGATGGCGCCCGGCAGCCATGCACTGAAGCTAACAGGGAGGCTTGCTTGCTCCAGTGATGGTGGACTTCAACGTTCCCCGCCTGACTTGCCGGCCTTTCAGCTGCAACTCTAAGCAACTATGTTGCAAATATAGAAGCTAAACAAAACCCCAGAAACCTGCGTTAGTCAGCCAGGCTTCAGCCAGCCGGACCGCAACATTGTATCAAATACAGAAGGTAAA